TTTTTACTAAAATACTATTAGCTTCTACTCATGAATATGTTCTGTTACATACTAAAAAGAACATAACAGATATTGAACAATTACTAAAAAGTAGTAATATGATAATGGTAAAAAAAAAAAAACTTACGTATTTTAATAAGAGTTCTTTCTGAAGATATTTTTCTTGTTTTCGTCAACTATTTTTACTGAAATACTATTGACTTCTACTCATGAATACGTTCTGTTATAAACTAATACTATTGCTAGTCTAAAGATTTAGACAAAATAGTGTTAGTATTTTACTTAGTATTTCCTTTATCTTAATGAGTAGTTTCATAATGCTGTATTAAATTTCCACTTTTAATAATAGCGATAGTTGAATTGCAAATTAAACAGACTGGTATGGTATGGCTCCTGAATACCTTACAAATCCGGAAGGTGGCTCTTTGCAAGAGATTTGCCACCAGATTGTGTATGGGGAGGATGGACCGAGGATGACACAACTGGCATAGTATATTGTGTTGTCAACATCCTCGCCTTCAACCCATTCACTTGCATACGCGATACAATCGTCATACGTAGCGTTCACGTACGCATATGATGGGCGTGACACCTCCCGCGTCTGGCGGTGGTGTTCGTGGCGGTGGGGGTGCTGGAGTTCAGGGGCACATCGAAGCTTCATCCTTTGGATGTACGCATCTTGCCTCTGTTGCTGTTTCGTCAACAACCCCACACCTCGGAAGAACTGTGTCTTCCCTGCGGAGAACATGTCTTTCTGGACCCTGGTCCAAGACATCTCCTCTACGCTCGGTTCGTCCGGAACCTGCTAATCCTGATTGGCGTGAGCGTCTTGCACTCCTCTTTTTGTGCGTTCTGCTGTGACGCCAGCACAGTACAAAGACGCAACATAGGAGCGCGAACAAGTATCCCAGGACGTGTACGTCTGGGACTTGCAGCCAGTCTTGCTGGCGTAGTCTGCGGCGGAAGGCACGGATAGAAGATCGCAGGTGTGTGAACCAACTTCTGTCAGTGGCTTCGCGATCCATGCCGCCATGGATTGGAGGGGGGAAGATATAGGTAAAAGATGCTTCGGAAGCTGATCCTCCGGAGTACCCATCTTCGTCTCCATCATAGAGTACGATCTTTTTGTACTCTGCCATAGACCAAAGAACGGTCTAGATACAGGTTTGACCTGCTACTTTCTGTTACAGTCAGAATCTGTCGTGGTCAATAACTTTACATCCGATAATGTCGAATTAGGATTTCCGCATGAATTTTTTATTGAGATAATGTCGCACTGGTAGAACTTGACACCGTACATCCGATACGGGTAATATGCATTCTGGACACATTACTACAATACACGTCTTTAATTATTTTTTGTTTTTGTATAATTATATTTTTATCTTCGACTTTAGGTTCGGCTATCGGTAATTCTACAATAGTCTCGGTTCTCGGAATTTAATTCTAATTGCAAAGATGAAATTGAATGTTGTACCTCA